GGGTTGCGGTGCTCATCTCCGTTTCCAAGCCGAAGAGCCAGCGCTGTCCGAAGACGTTTCCGTGGTCATGTGGCCGGCATGACTAAACACCGAGGCGCACGGAACGCTGTTACCTTCCCTCCAAAGTGGTACCTATTTACCTACTTGCAATTTCTTGCTTTCGAACTGCTAGGTTGGCAAGAGCTGGAACTAGAGACGGGAGCTCACTCCGTCATGCGGCACACTCCGGTCTCGAACTGCTGAACTACCGACCTTCCACAACAATACACACGTACATTTGGCAAACCTAAACACGACTAAGGAAAAACAGAGGAGCGACTTCTAACTTTGAGGGGGAGGGGGAGATCGCCAGGCCTGTCATTCACCAGGTTCAGTTATTATCCCCCATACTCGGCGGTCTCCAGCCCTCACCCCATCCTCCCCACTCTCCCGAGACACCACAGAGCACTGTCGCCACCACTTCCCCCACACCACTCCTGCTCCTCCTCCTCCTCCGGGAATTAACCCCCGCCCAGAGAAGAGCCCACCCGGCCGTGCTCCCTCACCTTCATGAACTCGTCCTTGTCGAAGCACAGGTTCTCCGGGCCCCGAGGCAGGTTCATGTTCCGCGCCTCCATAACTGCAGGCAACAGCCTTCCCGGCAGCCACGTCTCCCCCTCCGCTCCGGGTGCTGCCCAGTTGACACAAAATGTACGCGAGCGCCGCTTCCGCCAACGAGCCCGGCATCAGACGCAGCCTCCGCTCGAGGGCGGCCTCCAGCGGCCACCTGTTTTGCTGCAGACCCCGCCGAGAGAGGACGGGAGGCGAGTCGTCGTCATTCGGCGGTGCCTCAGGCCCCCTGGCGAAGAGCTTTCCGATTCCGCCGCGCAGGGTTAGAGCAGGAAAGCACGTCTAACCCACGCCAGGCTCGGAGTCTGGTTTTCAAACTAGATCTCGGATTCAGCGTATAAGAAAAGGAAGTTTGGCCTGGATCGCGACAAGCCGCCTGGGTAAGAGGTCGGCGGCTGTCTTGTAGTGGGAATTATGAGGAACTACATCTCCCAACAGCCCGTGGCTCTGACCTACGATTGCCTTTTTCCTGAGGGGTGGTGGGAGGAGGGGAAGGAGAAAGGGGAGGTCTGACAGTAAACTGCATTTAGGGACAGGCTTGTGAGAGCTGGCGGGATCCCAGTGGGGATTAAAGAAAGTGGAGTCTTGTTGTCAGATTGACGTTCATGGTAGAGAATTTCCTTTACGTAGGCTGTCTTAAGATGCATTCCTACCGTTTCACTGGCAAGCACAAAAGACCCTGAAAAGTACGCAGACAGACGGGTGATTTCAGCTAACCTACTTTTATTAGTGAGGAACAAGATAACTTTAGCCAGCTCGCAGGCCAGTTTATATTCCGGTGAAACCACTACCCAAAACACACCACCACACTGCAATAGGCTATTTACAGTGGCAGAGAGTTCCATAGGCTCTCTGCCAGGAACCTAGCCCTCGGATAGGTGCGGGCTAGGATCCACTTAGTCCATTGTTTCCTGGAGTGAAGCTCAAGGATTTCGCTTGACCGCATGGAGCCCCAGGCCACGTGATCAGAACTGGATAGATTACAGACCCAGAACAAAATTCGAGTTCAGTAGCACCTTTAAGACCAACAAAGTTTTATTCTTTTATACTTTGTTGGTCTTAAAGGTGCCACTGAACTCGAATTTTGTTCTGTTGCTTCAGACGACATGGCTACCTGCCTGAATCTACAAAAGACCCAGTTAGAGTTACCTATGCCTGTCAGTTATTATTTCCCTTCTTAGATGAAGCTTCCCTGTTCACGGACTTCACTCATTAAAATTCTTGCTGCTTTTAACTACACTGCCTGTTGGAAACCACCAGGGCTGATATAGAAGAAGTGCTTTTATCACCTGCCAGTTTGGTGTAGTGGTTAAGTGTGCAGACTCTAATGTGGGAGAACCAGATTTGATTCCCCACTCCTCCACTTGCAGCTGATGGATGACCCTGGGCAAGCCATAGTTCTGTCAGAGCTGTTCTTGAAAGAACAGTTCTCTCAGAGCTCTCTCAGCCCCACCTACCTCAGGGGGTGTCTGGTGTGTGGAGGAGAAGGGAAAGGAGTTTGTAAGCCGCACTGAGACTCCAAGTGAAGGGCAGGGTATAAATGCAATCACTTCTTCAAATCTTATTTGCCCTGGCATGCTACTAATTTGTATTGGCATTACAATTCCTCTTATATGCAGAGCTTGAGAACATAAGAGAAGCCAATGTTGGATCATGCCAGTGGCCCATCCAGTCCAACACTCTGTCACACAGTGGCCAAAAATACCAGGTACCATCAGGAGGTCCAGCAGTGAGGCCGGGACACTAGAAGTACTCCCACTGTTGCCTCCCCCAAGCACCAAGAATACAGAGCATCCTGAAAAGTACTGAGACTTACTTAGTGAATTCAGCTCTCACACTTTATTTGGAGAAAAACAAGACAAAGTAGCCGGCTCGTAGGCCGGCTTATATGTCCCAAGGAAAACCCACCCAAATACACCCAACACCCGTGAATGGTCTATTTACAGTGATTAGATTATTCCCCTGGATCCTAGGTTCCCGATTGGCAGGGAACTAGGATCCGACTGGTTCGCTTGGCCGCATGCAGAACCGGCCGAAACCAGATCGCGCACATGGCCAGGTCAGTACACAACACATCCCTTGCCCCAGAGTCCCTGTGGCTAATAGCCACCCATGGACCTCTGCTCCATATGCTTATCTAATTCACTCTTGAAGCTTGTGCAGAGTGCCTTGCCGTTCAGCAGCCAGTCACATCCAGTCTCCGATTATTAAGCACAAGCAAAGTTAGGGTACCAGGGCTCTTTTTGTAGAAAAAGCCCAGCAGGAACTCATTAGCATAATAGGCCACACCCAACACCAGAAACTCATTAGCATATTAGGCCACACCCCTGCCAGCACAGCTCATTAGCACATTAGGACGCACCCCCA